ATTTCCGCGCAAGATGTCGATAGCCGACATAAACATTCAAAACAGAGTTTCGAGAGATGAAGAACATAGAAGATAATGTGGAAAATTTAAGGTCGTCACAGTAATCTTATTGAGAAGTCTCCTGTTGTTTTATTGCGAATCATATGGCGAATTGAGCCAAAGAAGCAGAAGACGACTAATTTTCCGTATTATAAAATAAGGATATATTTGGAAGTCTCCGTGTTTTGTTTTTCTCCTTTTTCATATTTGATGGATTTGGGGTTTAAGATTCTGTTGACAGGTTGGAATTTCTTTTGGAGGTAACTGTTTCCTTCGACAGGTAAGTTTTTCCTTGGACGGGAAGATGATATTTACCCTGACAGGTAATTATTTTATTATGACTTGTAGGTATTTCATTGACAGAGAGGTAGGTATTTCCTTCGATAGGTAGATATTTCCCTTGATATGTAGGTATCTCCTTTGACAGACAGGTAGTATTTCCTTTGACAGGTACGTATTGCCTTTGATAGGTGCTTATAACCTTCGACTGTGAGGTATTTCCTTGGACAGGTTGGTAATTCCATCGATAGATCAATATTTCCTTCGACGGGTATGAGTAGTTAATTCCTTTGAAAAGCACAAAATGTCCTTTAATAGTTAGGTATTATCTTTGTTGGCTATATAAGTATCTTGATCATTAACTCTTTCCTCAATATCTAGAAAATAGATGAGTATAGATAGATGGTAATAGTATTTCTCCTTGATTGTCCTCAGCTCACAAGTATTCATATTACTAATGAACCTGACTGGATGTATTCATCCTGTACTTTAACCATTTACTTTTATAGACTTACACAAATAATCCTCCTCTTAAACATGAAGATTATTTCTGCAATAGCCACTTTATTAGACCATATACCTTAAGGCTTTCTTTTACTCTATACCTATCTATTCTGATGACCTTGCTCCTCTTTCTTATATCAATTGCAAGCTTTCTTAACCTACACAAAAAATAACAATATCACAGTGAGATGTTAGACCTTTATTACCGAATGGAAATAAACAGCTCGGCCTAACTGTAAGGTACATAAAATAATTAACAGAAATGTTGAACGCTCTTTCACACATCCTTTCATTTTACTGTTTAACAACACAATACACAGCTACGTTATTCCTCTTAGTTGGAAAGTAGTGCCAATATTGCCAATACAAGTGCTATATATAACAACAAATATTTGATGAATGAGGTATCTATTGACCCATATCTATTACTTACCAAGTTAGCAAAGTGACTGAAAAAATATGGTTTACTACTTGTACAATTATCTCACAAGTCACTATATTATTACTCAACATCAAACAGGACTCATGCCTACAGTTTTTAATGTTAATCAACTTTGTCTATTCATAATACAACAGCCGAATGATTTTACTTCTTGTGATTTTAGCAAAGCATTTGACAAGGTATGACATAACTTTTATATAAATTTCAACAAAATTCCATTAAATGGATATACTGATATAGTTTTAAAAATTTCCAATTGATAAGAAACTAAGGTACCGATGATAACGCTATCTAATTGGCTTATAACCTGACTGTTGATTTATCCAATATTGAACATTGGGCGAGGAGATGGAATATAAAACGGAATCCAAATAAAACAGGTCTTTTTACAATCATCACGATATATATATATACAGTGAAACCTCACCTAACGACCATCTCAAAATTACGACCACCCCTCTATTACGGGAACTTTTTTTCAGTTCCTTTTTTTCCACTATATATCTTTGTATTGGTCGCTTCAGTATTACGACCACCCCGCTATTCCGTATTACGACCACTTCTTACAGTCCCAACGACCACTAATTAACGATTATTGACCTCACAATTACGATCACGGTCTGACCAGTGATTAAAGTTTACCTGGTGGGCAGTGAACCGCGAACATGTGTGTCGTTCACAACCATTGTTTTCGTCACGGGTTACCGACCCTGTCACCAGGTGGCGTTAAACGAAGTAAACATCATTATCGGATTAACTTGGCCTACCCGTCCGAAACCGCGTGCTAGACACGTTTTAATAGCGATCTATTGTTTGTTAATTATATATTGATAGATCGGTAGGTATGCTGTTAAACACCTTAGAAGCCCTGCATACCAAAAAGTGAATTATGTAGTTGTTTCGGCCGATATTCCTTGACGTGCATGTGCACACGTTGTCGAGGGTTTTTAACTGTTTTTGTAGCAATGTTACACTCTCGATATCGTTTGAACAATAAAAAACATGTATGTGTTTATTTTACGACACATTTTCTCTGTCACAAAACTCCGATGAACTTATCAAGCAATGACGAAACCACGGCAACGAAACGAGCTATCGCGATCGGTAAAACGACGTATGAAAGAGGAGGCTGTCCAGATCCGTAGCTCTTCGCAATATTGTGCACTGGACTCTTTTTTTTTAAGTAAAAAGAAAAATGTGTTGTACTGAGTGATACACTGATAAAGATAATGTGTTTGCGAATTTATGTAAAAAATGAAGCGTTGAAAGACATTATAGTGACTTCATTAAAGTTGCTACAAATACTGAGTAAATGTGTTCGTAAGTTTATGTGAAATAGTTGCAAAATTAACGTTAAATTCCAATTGAACTTAAAAATGATTGTTTGTTTCCTTTTATTCAATATTTACAATAGTGAATATACATGTATATTATGATATAAACTAAGGAATATATACACAATTATTCTTCTGTCAATTCAGCAATTTTCTCTTTTTTACATGCTTTTCATTTTAGTTTATTATTATTAGTTATTATTGTTGAATAATATACATGTACATTACTTAATGATATATATACTCTTTATTTTAAACAGAGTTACGGTTCTTTGTGGTCAATCTGATCCACCTCACTATTAAGACCACCTCGCTATTAAGACCACTTTTGTCCAGTCCCCAAAGTGGTCTTAATAGCGAGGTTTCACTGTATATATATATATATAATGAACCACTTAAAGTTGTAAATATTGATAAACAGCTTGGCTTAACCTTAAGTGGTGGTGCGAATGGAATGATTATATCAATCATATAAATCAAAAAGCATATTAGAGAATTGAGATTTCACGAATAATGAAATACAAACTTGAAAAACTCTTACAACAATTTACATTAAATATATACAGTAAAATTCAAAAGTGTCGAACACGCTTGAATCTTAAATACATCGGATGAGTGGAACGTTTTGTTCGGTCAAGATTTTTCCTCTTCTTCAACTTAGTAAATTAACAATAGATAATTCGAACACTGTTGAGTCAAATATTGTGTTTGTGATGAATATATTTTGTAGTCCATCCCTTCTTAATTCGTCCAAAATTTCCTTTTCTTGTGTAGAACATTCTGGCGACACCTTGTATCGGCTAAAAATTTCCTGGCTTCGTTCCGAATTACCGAGTATAATCGGTTAGCCGTATCTATTTAAATGACACCTGTCTAAATTTTTGATCGGACATAAATCCTTATATTTATAGAGATACACATGTGAAAAGTAAAATACACTGTAGCCTGTTAACTGTAAATAAAATGTTAATTTTTTACATTTAATGAACATGGCTGTTGGCAACCAAAGGAAAAAAACCGCGCCAATGCAGATTTATAAACAAAAAATACTAGTTTGCTAGTGACATTAGTTTAGGATTAAATATATGTATATATACACGACATATGACCTCCCAGAGTAACTGCCTTCGTTTTCACTCTGTAAGTGATGGTATAGCGATTAGATTGAAAGCCGAAGAGGCCGACATTGATTTACAAAATGCAAGCTATTTCTAATTCTATTTTACGGTATATGCTCTAACAGTGCTGTTCGCTCATCGTGTGAAGTTATCCTTCAGTGACATTGTCGCGACCTTCACGGTTTTCATTGCACAGCTCAGTGCTTTCGACGTTATATAGATGTAAAATATTCATGAGTACATCTTTAATAATATCTTAAAATATTGTCGATGGGACTTGTTACTCTTTAAGATATATATGAGAGTACGATATCTGTAGTACTTCAGGTATCGATGTCACTAAGTTAAGTGCAAATGACAATTGATGCCTATCCAAGCGTGTGCTGAAATGAGGAGTGTTTCACATTACATCTCGATAAATATCCTCTCTCCGTTAGAGCATTTGATCCCACTTTTTCTAATTGTCGCATTCTTTGAAAGTTCTTTCAATCTCTGATTAATGCATTCAACCATATTCCTACAGGCCAACAAAACTCACTTCTTATCAATTCAAAAATTCATTTCTCTAAAGCAAATCTAAAAAGAACATTACAGATTTAGATTTACTGGGAAACGAGAAATGTATATCATATTATGTCAATTAAGAAATTATTGTATCGATTTAAATAATTATCCCAATAAAGACAACTAGGCAGAGTCTGGATCATGTTCATGTGGCTTCAGATTTGTCACTGTTTTCTTTATTTGTTTGAACTTTACAAATATTGGAGTCACATTATACCAGAATGCTGTGCATGAAAGGCATGGCCATCTATCAATAGGTGTTATCTTTAATGACAGTGAGAGTTGAAATGAAAATAGAAATCTTCTGGTTACCCTCCAATTTTCTTAACAGTTCAAACGAATTTGGAATTTTCTAAGAGCATTTTAGATTGATATCAAATGTTACTTTATACTGCGTATAACTTTACCAAATGGTCAGTATATTTATCATTAATACTCATGATCACTGGAGATTATGGATACAATATTTTAATATTTAATTCAATATAGAGGCAACACCTTCTATATAGTTGATGTATGTATATGTCTACAACAGACTTTTAAATAAAAATTACGATAAATAACGTCCTAAAATACGGAAATATTTGGTGGCACTAGTTATAATGAAAACGGTATTGAATAGTGAAATAAGTTATGACCGATACCTCGACTATATTTCACAATTACCTGTCATGTTGATATCCATGTCCCAATGATACAAGAAGAAATTTTCATTGTAATCTACACAAGATGAGGTCTCTCGCAAATAAATTTACGAGCACCATTGCAATATTCATCAAACAAATTTGGCACACCGAGTACTGCACAATCTGCACTGTGCATGTCAGGGTAATTTCCATCGAAGTTATTAAAGCCTACGTTTGACCACATTTGTCTCTCAAATGGAGTACCATCAATCCATTTCCATTGTCCTTCCTTCACAGCATCCGTCAGACCAATGTAGAAATACATTTTGTTGATACCTGTTATACGAGAAACATAGTAATTGAGATTAAGGATTAACAATATGATAACCACAAAACAATTAATTCTGTCCCGTGTGAAATCACATAACTATACTTCCTTCAAGCATGTCATGTCTTGGACAAAACACAGAACATTTGACTCTATTGAACTTTATTATAGACTACGAGAAACAATATATTTAAACTATATTTTTTATAGTTATATCATATCATGTTATACATTTTTTTAATTTCTACACCTGAAATCTTCACATGAACCCCAATTTAAAATGATATTAGGTCTTTTCAACCCTGACAAAATCTTTACAGGGGACCAATAGTCCTGTATCCGCCACATGATATTCACTTCCCTTCATCAACATTATAATCGAAACATCATATGTTTAAAAGGGGTCGCTTTTTCATCAACTTCTTTACATTCATAAGGTACTTTGATTTTATACTTTTATCTTAAAGCTTCAAGTACCATTTGCGAATACAAAGTATTTTGATAAATTAGAAGTCACGTTAATGTTCATTCACCAATGCATTGAACAGGTAGAAAAATACGTCTCAAAAAGAAGTAGAATGTTTCCGAATGAGATGATTATGGCGTCCGTAAAATTCCCTATATTTTTCATCGATCTGCTTATCTCCATTGTTAGGCTATTTTCCAACATCTTGACTTAGATTTTGAACCGACCGTGCCATCATTTAAGTTAATGAAAACGTAGCAAGATGATTATGTGAAACTTCGAGGACTAGACGTTCACCAACAGTGTCTACCATCTGCAATTTCAAATTATGGAAAATTCGAAAAACGGAAACTGAAATTGGCAGAATTTACATTTAAGGTTAAATTTAATGATTGTTCCTACGGACGTTGTGCCTTTATCGATCCAACCTGCTCTTGCTTTTGTTACGTTGCATTTGGGTACCTATCTCCATATGTATGACCAAAGGTTCTAGAGGGAACGGTTAACGAAATATTATTGATATCTGATTTCGTATATTTTCTATCGACTTATTGCATACTTGTTAGATATTTCAATACTCCTTTAATCTTTGTCGGCGAGGTCAGCACGAGTAATCTTCCATCTTCCTGTTCACAGGTCTGTTTGGCGTTATCCCAAATCATGTCTCTCTCTACTACATTGATGCAAAGATTCCCGTCTTCGACGAACGTGTATCCTGATCGTTGACAATCTACAACAGCAATATAAGATTTGAGTGTACACCATCACGATATTCAATATCCTATGCAACCAATAGGTAAAGATTACAGGCAATTCAAATTAGTTTTACTGCCTCTTTGTGTTGGTTTATCAGACAGTTATAGCATATATGTCTATGTAAGGTTCTTGATGTGCAAGTGCTCTGATATGGATTAACGCATTTAAGATAACGAGTCTGTATTTTTGTATATAATTTTATTGTACACATGCACAAACACCTACACTCACACACACTTGCACATGCATGGAGGTACACAAACGCATTCACACACATTCTTACAATTATACTTTAGAATATAGAGTGGACAAGGAGGAGAGTAGAAAAGGAGGGGGAGACGGGGTGGGGGGTCACGGGGTAGAATATCTATGGTGCAAGATAATTTAACTATTGGTTAATTACAGAATAAACCTTCATATTATATTTAAATATCTTTCGGTAATATCAGGGACATCATAGAGTGAAAAGAATTGAGTATATAAGTATACGATGTATATTTTTTTTATGTATTGTGTAGTAAGAGTGAGATAAATAATATATATTTACAGATTAATTAATTTATTAATTATGCATTATTCAAAAGTGAAATCGGTCTCCAATTTTTGATAAAATGTATGGGCTTGTCAGGTTAGGGAATACAAGTTATTATGCCTAGCCGTTGTGTAATGGAGAGTTGTCCAGTGCGATAGCCAAAGTTAATTCATCTACCTATAAATTCCCCAAGTTTCCCCAAAAAACATTTTTAAAATTCAGTAGTAAATCCATCTTGTTAAGTAATAATTTCATTATTATCTTTCTGTAAATTAGGGATTATCTTAGAAACAAAATTCCTAAATTACAGAAAGATAACTTTATTTATTGGGTTTAGCCTTGTCATTTTGAATGTTACAAACAGTTCATATTTTGACCTTACTTTTGCAAAGGACTACTTATCATAAAACTGTAGAGTATAAAACAAAGCTAAGTCTGTTGAACATCTACAGTCATTTAATGATGGTGGAACGTTCAAAATGAAATAATGTCTTTTATCAATGTTGAAAATGAACCCGACTAGACGTGATGAAAAACTGACTCTGCAGGACCAAGATGGAGGGCGTTTCCATAGTAAGTCATTGCTGTCTGTGTTCATGCGTTTCGCATAGTGATGTTGATGTTAACTGTGTCAACTAATTGAAACGTGTTCAAAGTTAAATTCATCTGTGTTCTGTTAAATCATCAATTGGAATAATTAATTGATACCTTAGGAGTTGAATAGCACCGACCATTTAGTGATAAGATGATATAGATAACATACATTACTTACTTGTATCACCTTTGTACACCACACGTGGTACAGCAAACTGAGACGGTAAAGTATTGAAAGTGGCGATTCCGGTGTACACGTCACAATCATTAGTCACCTCGGAGAATTCAAACATATAGCAAACGATTTGAAGGAGGCAAATTAGGGCACATTCTGTCCAAGATGACGTCGATCTCGAAAAGAGAAGGTCTCCACATGTTTGACTTGTGTGGTTGATCATGTGATGTGTGTAGGTTTCCGACAGAACGATTGCCATGGTAATTTCTGTAAATAAAATAATCATGTTTTTATTCATCTTCATCATCACACATTAAAGATATCGATTTTATCTTACTGCTTTATTAAATCATCTCGTGATACAGTGGTATCTCTATTATCTATCTTCATCTTACAATTTCAATAAGAAATTGAATTCATTTTCTTGTAATCACACTTCACTTGTAAAAGTACACTCGTACATTCGTTTGTTACCTGCACTCTTGTTAAATCAGATCAAACAGACCTGTGCTGTTTTTTTTACCAAATCTGCTCTGACTTCCGTCAAACATTTTTGTGTAGGATAAGAGACTGTAATGTAGAATTAGTTTTCAAAGTATATTCAATATGTATGAGGATATCGTCTTATTGATCCCAGAAGACGTAGGTGAAGCAAATTTCTGCTTATCATCAATGCCATCATCAATTTGTCTTGGTTACAATCGATCGATTGATTCAACGAAACTTAAGTCACTTCAAAGAAGACTTTTACATACAGAATATATTTGACAAGTTTTCTTACTTCTCTCATCCATGCATATTTGCTGTCTGATGATTATTTTTCTATTTATTACCCACGTAAGCACATTACTATAATGCTATCTTCTACCTTTACGGTGCTGTGTAATTTTTGTATACATTCATAGTGTTAGAAATAGAATTGATTTTCTTAGGAGTGTTTAATTACGAGATAAATATATAATGCTTAACGGAAACACATCTTGATCCGTCATACCCTGATTCTGATCTTTCTCTTACGAACTTTCTGACAATATTTAGAAAAGACAGGAACGCATTTGGTGACGGTGCCATGACTTTTTATTCTAACGACATTCTTCCAAAACGCAGACTTTTTTTATTATTAACATAAATGACCTGTTATATATACCCTTGATGTGCCAGGACTCCCATCAAGGTTGACAAGACAAAACAATAGTCTAACATATACATTACAAATATCATAACAAATGAGATGTACACAATATAACTTTTATCTTCATTCACTATGTATACTTTATACTATAGTTTCTTATATGCTCTATACTTTCATGTTTGTATTTATTTATTTATTTTTTAATCCAACTGTGTATAATACAGTAGTACTTAATCTTCTACAACTGAAAATTAGTTATGAAATCAGTAAATTTGTGTTAATATTGATAAAATTACTTTAGAGCTAAATGTCATTATTGACTTGGGCCCTAAGTATTAATATATATTCATAAATGACAAAAAAAAAACAAAAACAAAAACAAAACAAAATAAAAATACCAGCAACCCCTCCAGTTCAAGCTTTGCATTGCCTAGGCAGTAATTGTAATTTTGTATCCGATGTTGGCAGAAAATGACTTTTATAGACTTTTTCCCACTCGCTGCCATTTACATCAAATATTCTTTCCAATTTCCTTTGAGCTGTTGGCTTACTTTTATTTCTAGTTAGGACAATATACATGTCCTCCATCCCCTTAGGACATTTTAACAATAATTTTAAGTTTATAAATATACTTGGAAGATTTATTTGGAGATGTGGTAATGGAAGAACATAGTTTTTCAGTAACAATTTCTTTATTGAACTTTTGAGGCCACAAAATGACAGAAAGTCTATATTTACCTTATATTTTTCTCTGAATTCCTCAAAACGAAGAAAATTACCATAAGATGTAAAAACGTTATAAACAAAATAGATGCCTTTCTCAACACGCCGCTTATTGAAAACTGATTGACCACCTATTTTTATTTCTGAATTACACCAGAAGGGGTTTTCAATAATGTTGAATTATATATATTCTATGCAATAATAGTATTCATCCACGCTTTAATTACATCCTTCCAAAACCGTTAAAAACGATTGGCTAAATGTAATCCGTTTAATCAAGAATCAATTACAAAAGTCCAATTGCCCGTATCTTTATATAGTCGTCTTACCCGTGTTATGTTTAAAGCAGTAATGATAACTTTAAGGTCTATCATTTTCAATCCTCCTTCTTTATGACTCTTGATAATCACTTCTCTTTTAATTCTATCAGGTTTTCCTTTCCATAGTAATTCATATAGTAGAGTATCAATAGTTTTAATGTAGTTGTGATCTTGATTAGGAAAGGCTATAAATAAATGATTTAATTGAGAGATAAGTAACGTTTTTTTACACAATTATTTTGCCTATAGGTGTGAGAATTTTTTTACTCCAAGATTAAATAAAAAAAGAATATTTTGATATTTTCTGCCCAAGCTAATTTTAGTTAATCTGTGTACGTCAACATTATAGTCAATACCTAATAAGTTAAAATTAGTATTTCCCCACTGTATATCACATTGTGTCCCTAGACTTTCGTTACTATATTTTATGCTTCCTATCCAAATTACCTAGGTCTTGGAGTAATTCAAGTTTTATCCTGAGATTGCTGCAAAATGTGAAAGAGCTGTAAGAGTTGCAGATAAAGAAGTTTGAGTACCATCAAGGATAATTGAGGTCTCATCAGTATACTGAGACATTAGAATTTCTTTTCCTAATACATTTATACCTTTTATACTGTTATTATTTTGTAGCATAATGGAAAGAATTTCTGCACATAATAGAATTAGAATTATTAAGGTGGAATGGGGTCCCCTTGCCGGTATCATCGCTCAATACCAAAAAGTCAAAGAGATTACCACGTATGCTATCCGCAGATTTAGTGTTGTTTTGAAATGTTTTTATCCAGTTGATAATTAAAGGAACATTTTTTTTTTAATCTCAGTGTTTTATTAATAAAAACATACAAACTTCTTGCAGACTTGAAATTGAATCACCCATTGACGAAATTAGATTGAATTTTCTATTGATATTAAGAAATATGTTTTATGTGTACTTTACCAACCACCTTGGCAAAATACTAACTCTGGAATCTGGATTCGACTGTAACACTCATTTGACATAGCGTTTGACTACAGCCATCATGTAATACTGACAGGAGATAATAACATAGACTTACTGACAAGAAACAACAACGATCTTAGCTTTCTCACTCAGCCATACAATCTAACTAACCTGATCACAAGGTCAACTAGAGTGACGAACACTAAACAATCCCTTATTGACCCTTTTTACATCAGTAATAATATATCCTCCAAAGCATCCATTGTTGTACTAGTTTTAGAAACTATAAGCTATCACAGGGCTATTATTGTGTCATTATCAACCTGCCTACAAAAAGTTTTTTAAGAGAAATATTTGATTAAATAATACAGTAGCTATTTCAAATCTTAAAACAGAGTTCGGAAAGGTAAAGTGGCCAGATTTGTTTTCTTGTGTGGAGGATCTAAGCGAACAATTTTAATTGTTTACCGATAAACTTTCTATTTTGGAAAAACACATTCCGAGAAAAAAATATAACTGTAAATAGATATGACAAATCATGGATGAATGGAGATATAAGAAAATAATTCACACGTAAAAACAGAATAAGAAGACATTTCATCACAGTTTAATCACCAATCTCTGAAACTAACTTTAAACATGCCATAACACATTTCTACGCACATGTAAATGGACTTATCAATGACAGCCAAGCTAACCCAAAAGTATAATGGAAACTGGTGCGCATGCCCTTAAAAGGGAACCCTTCTACTGCTATTCCTCCCTTACTAAACTCTACTAATAACCATCTAACCACAGACGACTTTATAAAATCTAACATTCTAAATAACTTATTTCAATCTGTTTCTGACCTAAATAACCAAATCGACAATATACCTTATTTTTACTACCAAATAGACAAATCCCTTTCTGAAGTTGTAATAAATGAACAAGAGGTTAAAGATACAATTGATAATTTAGACACTCATAAAACCGCTGGTCCTCATGGCATCGGTCATAAATTGTTGAAAATTACATTCAGTGAAATATCGAAACCTCTAACATTTCTATCAAGGAATCCTTGTGCCTTGTGTTTTTCCTGATCGATGGAAACTAGCCCATATAACACCTATTTTCAAAAAAGGGGAACCCGAATTAGCAAATAATTACAGACCTATTTCCTTTCTGAGGTGCGTTGGCAAACTTTTTTAACGAATAATTCATAAACACATTTACAACTACTTCTCCGACAACAAACTTCTATATGATTTACATCTGGCTTTCTGCCTAATCACTCTACAACTCACCAACTATTTGAGCTATATTATAGCATACTAACAGCACTAGAAGATCGAAATTATATAGCTCTTGTTTTCTGTGACTTTTCCAAAGCTTTCGATCGCACCTGGCATAAAGGTTTAATAATTAAGTTAGAAAACTACGAAATAGAAGGGGAACTTTTTAATTTGATTAAAAACTACTTAAGTGATAGACGTCAGTCAGTCGTACTAAAAATATTATATCTATCAAAGCCGAAGTTCCTCAAGGCTCAGCTTTAGGACTACTTCTCTTTGTGTATATTTCCGATATTTCTAACGCATTTCTATCAATTACTGGACTTTTCGCTAATGACACCTGTCATGTTGATATCCATGTCCTAATGATACATGAAGAAATGTCCATTGTAATCTACACAAGCTGAGGTCTCTCGCAAATAAATTGACGAGGACCATTGCAATTTCCATCAAACAATTTATCAGGCGCACCGAGTAGTGCACAATCTGCACTGTGCATTTCAGGATGTTTCCCATCGTAGTCATTAAAGGATACTTTTGACCACATTTGTGTCTCAAATGGAGTACCATCAATCCATTTCCATTGTCCTTCCATCACAGCATCCGTCAGACCAATGTAGAAATACCATCTGTTCTTACCTATTATACGAGAAACATAGTAATTGAGATTAAGGATTAACAATATGATAACCACAAAACAATTGATAATGTCCAGTTTGAAATTACATAACTACACTTCCTTCAAGCATGTCATCTCTTGGACAAAACACAGAACATTTGACTCTATTGATGCCTCAGAACTTTATTATAGACTACGAGAAAAAATATTTTTAATCTATATTTTTTATAATTATATCATATCATGTTATATATTTTTTTAATTTCTACACCTGAAATCTTCACAGGAACCCCAATTTAAAATGATATTAGGTCCTTTCATCCCTGACAAAATCTTTACAAGAGACCAATAGTCCTGTATCCGCCATGATATTCACTTCCCTTCATCAACATTATAATCGAAACAAAATGTGTTTAAAAGGGGTCGCTTTTTTCATCAACTTCTTTACATTAATGAGGTACTTCAATTTTATATTTTTATCTTAAAGCTTGAAGTACCATTTGCGAATGCAAACTATTTTTTTAAATTCGAAATCACGTCAGT